AAGAATTTTTGGGGGGAATTACAAATGTACCAATTTCTTATTAATATATAATCATTTGTTAATATTAAAGGAAAAATTTATTTCTTAACTTAACTAAGCCAGCTAAGTCATAGACCGAAATATGTGTTTCTGCAGATATTCAGAACTTCCGGAACTACGAATACATTCACAGTTACACAATATGTAAAATATATTTCTTTTAAATGCTTGGAATATTCGGAAAAAATATCTAAATTCAAAGAAATGGTAAAATACGTTTCACTTGCAGATTCTTTGTTATTTATTGATTATATCACCATTAATAACAATGTTCACCCCCCCAGAATAAAAAGTATATGTTTATGTACTGAAGTCTTGGTTTGTTTCCCTTGACAAGTCAATTAATCTATCATCAATGACAATAGCTACCTTTTAAATACTTTTAATTTTGGCACTTAAAAATGTTTGCATTTCAAAATAATATTTCTATGCAGCTTTTAAATAATTTTTAATGCAACAGAAATCTAAATAACTTCAAATGCTGGCTAAAATTCATTCCAATAATTCATCGCTTTAAATTTCTGTTCCTTGCAGATGATACAGGGAAAAACCTTTTCTAATAATATATTTCTAATTCTACCAGGATATTACTGACAAATAATCCGATGAAAAAATTGATACAGGCCATAGATGGAGGAGATGAAAATAATTATTACGAAATAATGTGAAGCAGTGTTTGCATTCAAAATGTAATATGTTATACTTATGAAATTCTGCACTTTCACTTTGGAACTGTACGAATTTTCGCTCAGAAAAAGACTGAAATTTCAGGATATATTAGTTGAAAATTTATTCATTACACTTTGAAGGAATAAAAACAACTCAGAATTTACCATACGTTCCGTTCGTACATACGCAAAGAAACACGGACATACGTAAAAAATATAGCAAGTGTTTGCAAATAACATTGAAGAAATTTTACAATTCCTTAATGCTGTTTATTTAATTCTTTTAAATAAGAAATAAAAGCGCGAATATACGTTAACAAACTAAGCGGGAAAATTCAGTTTACATTACTGAGAATTAAAACATGTAAACAAATTACATCTAAATAACGAATTATTAAGCACAATATATGGTAACAATTATTAAATGCACTGTTAGACAAATTAAAATGAAAAACATATATTAGAATAATAAGCAAGTGCAATCGGTATGAACGTTAAAATAACTAATAAACAAAGTTCCACAACATTGCAGTTGTACACATCACTCGACAGCCATGGAGATCACGAATGAGCTAGCGTAGGGTTGCTTTTAGTCGCCAATATTTCTTCCCGCGCCAAAGGTACACCATCAAGCATGCGCAGTAAGCGAAATTCGCTTAACACTGTTCAACTCAATGTGCGGTCTGCCATTACGCTACCGGGTTGGATGAAAACCAGCAATTTTCAGATTCTTTTGCTCAACAGAGCGAAAGTCTGGCCACTGAAGCTCCTGAACCCGTATTGAAAACTGTAAGAAAATCGGCAGTGATTTACCGTGCCCTAGCAGACAAGAAGATTTTGAAAATACTTCAGATGATAACTTGCTTGAGAGTGAATCTTTGCTTTCGAAAAGGTAGAGACGTCAGCCTTTTTATCTGGCAGACTATGTAACTTATTAATAATCTTTGAGATGGATGAATGTGGTATATTGAATATTGTTGGCAGCATTAAAATTATATTATATGGAATGGCAACAGTCAATGTTAGGTTAAATATTGTTTTTACAATGCAACAATTGTTTTATTCGCAGATTTAGTTGATTAAAGCTTCATTTGAGCTTCTTAAGGAAAGTGATATATTTACAACACTGGGGTTGTCAGTAAAGTGAAATTGCACGGAGCAGGGGTATTAAGGGTTATTGACCACCAGGCTGACCCGTTGAATATGGTTATTGTCGTACGGAGTGGGATTAAGAATGAATGTATCCTCCATATAGTCCGTAAAAGATTTAGCTTAATCTTCTTCTGTATATGAAATTCCACTAGGTCCATGGATAGGTGGGATTGGTTTATATAGTTTCTTGAATTTGCGGTAAATGTCAAACAGGGAATTATCCTCTATAGCCAGGTTATTTCGGAAAGCGGTCCATTTTTGGTTTTTGAAGCTCTTGATTCTTCTGTTGATTCCTTTTTGCATTGAGTTTGATTCAGAGTTATGGATCCCTGATGTTTTGCCATTTTTACGGAGTCGGTTTTTCTCTTTAATATTATTTCTAATATAGACAGACAGTGGAGGGAAAGGCTTGTTCGAGTAAAAAGTATTGGTGGCGTCCTTTAATGCAGAATTAATGCAGTTGATAAATATTGAGACTTTTTGATCTTTTGTTTTTGATGCATGGATTTCCTTGAATGGAGTTATTCAGAATTTCTAAGGATTTGATCAAATTTGGTACTCCAATACTTCTGTGTAATGAGGGGCCATTTATTAATGTGAATTTCAAGTATAATGGGGTTGTGGTCGGAAGAGAGGGCTGGGATTGCAGAAATATTGCATCTTTTAGTAATGTTATTTGAGTGAAGAAGTCAGTTGTGGAGGCACTATTGTACCCATAATGGGAAGGCTCGTCTGGGGCGTGAATATTATAATTATTTGATTGAATGAGGTCGAATTTCCTTTCCTGTTAGCAGGTCCTTGGTCCAGCAGGGGTGTTTAGCGTTAAAGACAACTCCGACAATGGTAGAAGTATTAGAATTTAGGAGGTGAATCAGTTCTTGTGCGCTGGAATTGTTATTTGGTGAGATGTAAACACTAGAAAATTTGAATTTTGTGTTCAACTGTAATTTCTATTGTATTACTTTCAAAAGTGGTGCTGGGATTTGGAATTTGAGAGTGTTTTATGCTCCTTTTAACAAATGTGATGCTGCCAACGCCTCTTCCTGTCTCCCGATCCGTACGGTAGGTGTTATAATTAGCATATAATACTTTGAGTGCTGGTCTAAGGTGATTATCTTGTATGAGTATTACATCAGGTTCAATTTCAATAATGAGGTTGGATAATTCATCCTTTTTATCGTTAAGACCATTTTGCGTTCCATTATGTTGCACCTGTTGCTGAAATTATTGGAATTAAAGATGATTTCCTATTTTTCCTATTATTTCGACTACTGCGATTATTCTGTCAAGAAGTTATTTCATGATTTTAATGTTTTAGAGACCTTGTATCACTATTGTCCAGATTGTGTTTAGCGAAGAGAAGTCGAAGAGGTCTGATAGGGAGAATTCTGCGGTGCTGGTATTTTCTTTTCGAATGGAGGTTTGAGTGAGATTTTCATTACTATTGTTTGACGTTAGCGGAGGAAAGTCTTGACTTCTGTTAGTCCAGGGATTGATTGCTGGTGGAGGGCTGGGTTGGAATTGAGCTTGCTTGTTTTATGGTCTGGCCGGACAATTAGAGAAGTTAGTCGAATGAGGACCTTTGCAGTGGTAACATATGGCTGGTTGGTCTCGGCTATGGGCGCATTCTATAGATTTATGATTGCCTCCGCAACTGACACATATTCAGTCTCTGGTGCAGAGCAAGGAGCTGTAAAAAAAATTCCTGGCATCTGTAGCATTGTGAAGGGACTGGTTTCTTGCGTAATGATTCTACTGATACGTTCATATAACCAATGCGTTTGATTTTGAATAATTCCTTATTTTCTTCTGATTTTGGTATATGTACTAAGAATAGCGGCATTGGTTTGTTTTTCTTCTGTTTCTTAATAATGTACTAAAGTTAACCTGGAATCGTTTGTCGAGTAATTCTTGAGTGATGGTTTGGACGAATATGTTGAACTGCGGTGCTTGACCACCAGGGTGCCTGGGCGCCATAGCCCTACCCCTCATGGAATAACATGATAAAAGTTTCGAATTATGAGAAATATAACTGAATGTGCTAAATAATTAAATGAGCAACAGTTTAAATTCATAATTGCTAATAGTTAAATACATATTTTTTTCCTTAAGTACCTGGATCTGTGGTGATGAGTAAGCCTCTTATTATAACTTTTCAAACCTTCTCTTCGGGCAATAAGTAGGTATGTTTCTTTTACTATTTTACAAATGAGTCGGTGTAAGTCTGGGTCTGCAGGTTGTATTTCGTGCCGCGCCCGTTTAAGGTGCCAGTTTACCTCTTTTCCAGTTTGCTTGTTTAAGTTTTTAAAATTTATCCGGTTGGGGAACGTCATCTACGACAATAATAGGCACTTTATCATTTCTGTTCGTTTTGGGGTTGGAGTTTTGTTTTCTCTTTATGGGAGTAGTGTCACTCTTGTTTGATTTGTCTTTTGGGGTGTAAGTGAATTGAATTGCTGGTTCATCTTCGTTGTCTAAATGCATTTGCTTCTCTAGTTGTCTATATCGATTACTGGTTTTAAGGGAAGTCTCCTAATCGGATTTAGTGTCCGTTTGTCACTTACTGAAGAGAATTATAATTCAGCTATTGATTTATTAAAAGATAATTTTGGTCGCCAAGACCTAGTAATTAATGCTCATATGATTAAATTTTTGAATCTGAAGCAAGTAAGAAATGCTGTGAATGTTAAGGAATCGTGAGAGTTCTATGATAGTTGCGAAATTAAAATTCTCTTGGTGTTACAGCCGGCAGCTACTGACATTTACTCTGTCCAATTTATTGAAGTTATTAACTGCAGAAATTGCTCTCGATTTTAATTGTAAAAGAGCTGACTCGGAAAAAATTGGTGTAGAAGAGTTTCTTTCATTCATTAAAAATGAAACCGAATCTAGAGAAGCCACAATCAACGTGCAAAGATGCAATTATCAAACTAACGTTAAAAAAGAAAGATATTAACACAGTAATAATAAATTTACTAGTAATTATAAGTGCGAGACACCTACAGCGTCAGCTATAACAAAAAATGTTAAAAATGCTTGCGTTTTTTTGTTCCACTGGCCCTACACGATTCTATCCGACATAATTTTGCAGCGCTACTATCATCGCGGTGTGAAAAAAAAAAAATATTCAAAATATGAACGAGTGCGCTCGTTGTTATTTACAGTTAGGGTGGTCGATCTTTAATCGGAATAGAATGTTTCATTTCATTGAAAAATTTGAGGAATTAGATTAAAAAAATTAGAATAGCGGGAACATAAACAACTCAGCATGCCCTTTAGCAGAAGCTAAAATTAAATGTTCATAAACTTATGGCGACTAGCAAAGTGGAAAATGAGTCCAATGTTGCTATCAGCAGTAGCGAAGATGGTGTTGCAAAAACAGCTGTTGAAGACGAGATTGAATTACCTAAAGATTTCGAACCTGGTGCTTCTAGGGTTGCAATTCTTTTGTCTACGGGTTCCTATGAAGAAGAGAGTGTTTCAAATGAAGATTTTGAAAATTTCAGTAGAAAAAGCAGTTGCATCAGCGAGATAGAGCAGGGTGTATCGGCTGTTGATTTGAATGATTCCTTACCAAAACAGGCTTTACAGAGCTCAGATAATAGTAGTAAAGATGAAGTAAGTATGAAATTGTTCTATCTTTTTATAGTAGCCGTATAGTTACTTAATATATTATGTTAAAATCTATTACCAATCTTTAAAGGAAGAATTTAATTAGTAATTTCGTTATATCTGAAATAATGCTGTTAACTTTCAAATTTCAATAATTTAATTTTCAAGTTACACTTCAGTTTTTATTTTCTGTTTCCTTACCAGTTGGTGTAAACATAACTTGACAATGTTCATCAAATATTATTTACTCTATTTTAGATCTGCCTTCTAATATTGTAAATTTCAGATCATTATAAAATTATGGTAATATAACTAATGCCTTTAGTCAAGCTTTAGCTGATGTTTCTTATGTTTATGTATATGTAAAGCAAACTTCTAATTTTAATTGGCAGTAGTCCCTTATATTGTTAAAATTTACTCTACTGTATTCTTTGGCGAATCGTCTCTTTTTTTACACAAAGATAGGCACCAGAAAGGATCGGCACCAATTTGAAGATGGTGTCAATACTTCTGCCCATTACACAAAACCAAAACAAAAAGTCAAAGACTTACACAAACTCCATGTTCATGTATATATTGACCTATTTTATCTTAAAAGAAAAATTGGAGAATTTCACAATCTAGGCATTGCGCACTGCCTTAACTTTGTCCATGTACACATGGATCTATTTTCACTTAAACAAAATCAGGAAGCTAAAACAAAAAGGAAAGTGCAGAATCACCCACTGCTTGGTACATTAAGAATTGCGCACACTCGCTATCCATGTACACATCGACCTATTTTCACTTTAAAAAAAAATCAGAATTGCACGGCACAAATTCGGCATTGCGCACTCCCTTGACTCTGTCCATGTGTACACATCGATGTATCTTCACTTAAAAAGTCAAAGAAAATTGACAAAATCCAATTCTTCTTACTCTTGTAAAAAGTGCCAAACATAACGCGGCAATTAAGTGGGCGATGTACTTTAGCCAAAACAAAGTTAAAACTATCATGTTAACCAGAAAAAATTCGATGATGTCTTAACACAAAGAGATGAACAAATAACTAAAAATAACATATTTCCTAATATGAAAACATTAAACGTCAATTTTTTAACATACTTTTTTTTACATGCATACATTTACGATTCCCACCACCATCTCCTCCATCCTCCACATAAGCAATTCAATTAAATTTTGGTCACCACTGTTAATCAACATTCATCCTCTTAATCACCTTTTATTTACTCAATTGATGGTACCCACAGCAAAATAATAGCAAGTTGAAAATCCAAGACCATACCATGCACGTGCAAGGAAACACAGCAACTGAAAACTAAAGCGGGACCCATACGAAAAGGATTACTATTACAAAAAATAGCCAAAATCTAAATTTATCACATGTTTGGTGATATTCACAGAAATAACCGGTTGATCTTTACATTATGGTAACTTGGCGTTTTTTTGGCGAAAATTTGGCGACCAACTCTCCTACAGCAACCCTCTATTTTTTTTTCCCGCCGCCATTTTGTCTTCACGAAGTAAAGGCACGTTTCTTTTCTTTTTATCTACTGAACACTTCTTCCAACAATCTACTAGCCGAATTACACTTATGCTAGAAAATTTATCTAACAAAACTGCTTAATCATGACAAATATTCACTGCAAAATTAGAAAAAAGTGCACAATACCATACTCCTTACGCGTTTTTCAAAATAACACATACACATAAACCATGTACACGTGGACTTATTTTTACTTAAAAAAAACATCCCACAATTACATAAAAATGGCATTGCGCACACTCTTCACTATATCCACATACACTGCTTTTTTCATATAAATTAGAAAAATTTCACGAAAATACATGACAATTTTCTGAATCTTTAAACCCGGTAAAAAGAACATATATGAAATTACCTGATCGCGAAAAAGTATATACCCTTTCCAAATATGAACATTTCCACATATAAAATAAATAAAATATCAAAAACTTTTACCTCTAAATCATCTATTATATTCTAAACGTCACCAACGAATTCATACCGCAAACATAACAAATACTTAGTGTGAAATATTTAAATTATTTCCATGCACGTTTACTTCAACTAAAACGTATACCAAATTCCTACAAACATAAAATTCACAAAATAACTATCATTTAATTAAAATATCACTAAACCATGTACACGTCGACTTATTTTTACTTAAAAAAAAAATCCCAGAATTGCACAAAAATGGCATTGCGCGCACTCTTCACCATATCCATGTACACTCCTTTTTCTCATAATTAGAAAAAAATTTCACGAAAATGCATGACAATTTTCTGAATCTTTAAACCCGTTAAAAAGAACATATATGAAATTACCTAATAACGAAAAAGTATATACCCTTTCCAAATATGAACATTTCCACGTATAAAATAAATAAAATATCCAAAAACTTTTACCTCTAAATTATCTATTATATTATATATGTTACCAACGAATTCATACCGCAAACATTACAAATACTTAGTATCAAATATTTAAATTTTTTCCATGCACGTTTACTTCAACTAAAATGTATACCAAATTCCTACAAACATAAAATTCACAAAATAACTGTCATTTAATTAAAATATAATTAAATTCAAAAACACTACTTAAAATATTAATAAGCACATACATTAAATTAATAAAAATTAGCTTACAATTCTAATTACTTTAAACTAAATCATTGCTAATAACAACTTTCCCAATAATACCAAATTACTTTACTTCCACCTTGCATTTAGAACAATGCATAAAAATAATATCCTCAAATAATTAAAAATACTAACTTACCTAATCTTCTTCAGAACCTTGATTACGTGTCCGATAAACTTTTATTATTTCATCCGCTAAATAAAAAGCAAGCGTATGTGCGCCTGTTTCAGGATCTTTAAAATCATACGTATAGTTCAAAGCAAGGTACCAGGTAAAATAAATAACTTAATAAAACATCTTTACTTCTATCTCGCACAACCTTAAAGAAACACTTATTACTACCTGTTTCAATCCCACTAAATACCCATTTCGAATTCACTTTAGTTAGGGCCATGGGATCCAAAATTAACGAACACTGTTTCACACAACACAGAATAAAGCCAAATACAAAATTTCCAGATTTTTTCCCGATTTCCCCCCTTTTCTGATTAAAGAACCGTAATTCGTCCATTAATATCACATGACATATCCCATGATCTCTCATTTCCCTCACACAAAATAATGCGTAATCGGAACTGAGTACTGCTCACATTATTACCAAAGTCCCAGGTAGTAACCTTTATCGCCTCCAAAATATCGCCAAACTACCAGTTACCATATTCTAAAGATCAGCCAAATAACCCCTTTTTAATGTCAAAAACTTAAAAAAAAAAAAAAAAAAAAAAAAAAAAAAAAATCCCAAGGCTAGTTTTGCCAACATTATCAACATTAGGGTTACCAAAAAAACCTATTTCATGCAGCGGGCTTCCAGATTTCACAAATAACTAATACCACTTGGCGATTTTTTTCAGACAGAAACCAAGGGGATAACAGTAAAGATCAGCTTCCTTATAGTCCTCATTTTAATTTGGGTACTTCCCCTTTCTTTCTGAAAAATAGTAACTATTTATAACATATCAGTTTAAACTGCACCATTTCAAAATTAATCCATGTAACTAAAATTTCTTTATTTTTCCTCTATTTCTTCTGAATGTGCCGTGCACTATCCTGCTTGCCTTCATCAAAGTAACATGCTGCTGCTCTCTTCTATCTGTCATCCTCCCAAAAATTGAAGGATGTATATTGCTTCCATTATGATGTGTAGATCAAATTATGCATCTAAAGAATTTCGTTATCCAGTAATAAAATTATGTTGAATGTATGGCTGTAAGTGTTGAAATATACCTCTAGAGTCTATTACAATTATTAATATTTTTCTTTTAATTGCAGCAGTAACATTTTTCTCCGTTTCATCGTGTATTTTGTGATCTGCAAGGCCATCTGATCAAACATAAAATGATATATGAATATTAATTAATTTCTGAATTTTTTTAAAAATTTTATATTAAGTTAAAGTTTTCAGAAAGATATTTGATGTCATAATCATGAAAATAAACAAACTGTAAGGTATTACTTTTTGAGAAAATTATATTCTTCTTCTTTTTTTAGTTTTTAAGTAACTTTTGGTATATGATGTTATTTTTTACCTCATTTTCTGGGTAAATTTAAAAACTTGGATTTTAAAAACTGTTTATTATCCTTTTTATAACTCGGAAAGATGCTAAAGAATGCTAAATACTAAAATAATTCGTCAGCAATTGTTGCAAAAGATTCATAAAAAAAAACTTTTTATATTTCCTTGAAAATTTCATTGTACATAGTAGTTAAAATACAAAGTTATTAAAAGAAATTCTGTATGTGTTGAAGGTTTAGCGGTTGATCTTTACATTATGGTAACTTGGCGTTTTTTTGGCGAAAATTTGGCGACCAACTCTCCTACAGCAACCCTTTATTTTTTTTTCCCGCCGCCATTTTGTCTTCACGAAGTAAAGGCACGTTTCTTTTCTTTTTATCTACTGAACACTTCTTCCAACAATCTACTAGCCGAATTACACTTATGCTAGAAATTTTATCTAACAAAACTGCTTAATCATGACAAATATTCACTGCAAAATTGGGAAAAAGTGCACAATACCATACTCCTTACGCGTTTTTCAAAATAACACATACACATAAACCATGTACACGCCGACTTATTTTTACTTAAAAAAACATCCCAGAATTGCACAAAAATGGCATTGCGCACACTCTTCCCTATATCCATGTACACTGCTTTTTTCTCATAAATTAGAAAAATTTCACGAAAATACATGACAAATTTCTGAATCATTAAACCCGGTAAAAAGAACATATATGAAATTACCTGATCGCGAAAAAGTATTTACCCTTTCCAAATATGAACATTTCCACATATAAAATAAATAAAATATCCAAAAACTTTTACCTCTAAATTATCTAT